TATATATTATGTGAACATTCTTATCCGTTTAATTTGATACTGATCATATGACCTGTAATTGGGAGCAATTCCTATGAGATAACATAAGAGATTATCAGTTGAGTCAATCGGATATATTAAAAGATGATAAATTTAAAGAAAACTAGAAATTGCAAAATAAAATATATACATAGAGAAATATTATAATATTTTCCAGTATTTTTTAAAAAAAAGGAAATTTGAGCAAATTGTGCATACGCGCACAAGCACATTAATTCAGCAGCTCTTAACTTTTAAAGGCTAAGTTCTTGACCAACCAATAGAGGACAATCTCATCGTAGAGAGAGGGAGAGAGAGAGAGTGATCATTAGGGGTGTAAACGAGCCGAACACCAGCGAGCTCAGAGTTTATATTTCGAGCTCAAAAAATGTGTTCGTGTTCGGCTTGGTTTTTTAGCAAGCTGAACACGAGCCGTTCATGAACAAAGAGTTGTTTTGACAACCCTAATCACACAGTCATAAAATGTTAAGGACTGGGCCAAGATTTAAAACATCATTTGATTTTAATTTAATAATTTATATTCTAGTTTCTTAATTAATACTTTTAATTGATTATAAATTTTTGTAGCCTTGTAGTCAATTAAAGTTTTTAAATATATATATATATAATTGATTAGTAGTATTTCGAGCTAAAACGAGCCAAACACGAACTAACAAATATTTGTTCGTGTTCGGCTCGTTAACTTAGCGAACGAGCCGAACACGAGCCATTCTGACAGAGCCTAGTTATCATAGTTCTTATTGTTCGAACTTTAGAGAAACGGAGAAGATTATAGTATGGGAAATACTTTAGAATTTTTAGCATGGAATAAAGCATAGTATAAACTTGAAAGCATAAGGACAGTGAAACTATAACTTTATTTATTTATTTATTTGAAACCATAAATATTTATGCAACTTGGAGCTTCTTTTTACCTTCTTAACTTCACTGCTAACAAAACAATAAAACTATTCCCACCATACTTCTATTTATTGTTCCATTGTCTGTTTGCAGTTAAACCTACTCACGATTGAGAGAGAGAATTATTATGTGTGGCTTGTTGCATGTCGGGACAATTGTTTGAATGTTTTCATGCCATCACGTATACGCGACTGTTTATCTGGAACATCGTTCGAACATGCGATCGTTGTTGCATTTATGGCTTCTATTGGTTATATTATAATTGATTCGTTTCTTTTTTGGGCATTTTCTTGTATGGTCTAATCCTCCACTAAATAAAGGATATAAAGATCAACATTGGACCACATAAATCCTTTGTAGTTGATTGTTGTTCTGTGAATTTCTACATCATAAAAAATATAATTTTTTCAGAAACAGCTATAAGAACTCATGTTATATGCCAGTTTTGTTCTCTCCTGTGAGGATTTGAGTTATTTGTGATCCCCAAACCGTGAAGACAATAAAAAATTAGGTCGGCACCGCTATACATCCAATTTCATATTGCAAATTAGCACATGTTTGACTGTTCTTCTTATAACCTTTCTGGCAATAGATATCATATTGCAATAATATTTTAATAT